GCTGAGGCGGATGACGTTGAAGGTCCCCACCAGGTTCACCTGGGGGAGGGAAGTTGGGGTGGCTCCGAGGACACCCCCAAACCCTGTTGACACCCCCATGGCCCCACGTGCTGTGCCTGGGACCCCCAAGGGCAGCCCGTTGGGGGGCAGCCGCTGCGGATAGACCCCGGCCCCCCTGAACCCCCAGGACATGAGCACCCTCAGCCCCAAGGTCACCCCCTTGGCCAGGGTCACCCCACAACCACCCCGTTGGCCAGGGACACCCCACAACCACAACCACCCCGTACGCCAGGGACACCCCACAACCACCCCACTGGCCAGGGACACCCCATAACCACAACCACCCCATTGACCTGGGACACCCCACAACCACCCCGTTGGCTGGTGACACCCCAAGGCCACAGCCACCCCATTTGACATGAACACCCCAAAACCACCCTGTGACCCGGGACACCCCACACTCACAACCACCCCGTTGACCTGGGACACCCCACAAACACCCCGTTGGCCAGGTACACCCCACACCCACCCTGTTGGCAAAGGACACCCTACAGCCACACCACTGGGCGTGGGACACCCCAAAACCACCCCGCCGCTGCCGCACTCACGTTGATGACCCTCTGGAAGTCCTCCAGCTCATGCACTTTGTCCTTCTTGCTGTTGTAGGTCTTGAGGGCAATGCCAATGCCGGCACAGTTCACCACCAGGTCCAGACGCCCAAACTCCTTCTGGGCCAAGGTCAGGGCTGCGCCCACCTCCTCGGCCGACGTCACCTGGAGGGGGATGAAGGTGAACCCAACATCAAGGAGGATCCCACATCAAGGTGGACCCCACGACAAGGAAGACCCCACAACAAGGAGGACCCCACATCAAGGTGGACCCCACATCAAGGAGGACCCCACAACAAGATGGACGTCCCCAGTAGGGAAAATGGCGGAGAAATCCACCCCGCAGGGCCAAACCACCCCCACCCACGGGTGCTCACGTCGGCGGGGGCGAAGGCACAGCGCTCCCCCAGCTCCTTGGCCAGCTGGATCCCCGGTGACGTGGGCAGGTCGAGGAGGACCACCCGAGCCCCCTGTGCCACC